TATTGCATCAAATCCAAGATGCACATTGGAACATTGCATACATATCTAATATTCTCATGCATTATGCAGATTTAATGTCAGGGCCCCGGCGGGGGTTGGTCATGAGGTCATCGGCAGGCTGGCAGGCCGCCGCAGCTGTGAGGGCCCAGCTGTCACAGCTGCACTGTGCACGGAAGACGTTCTGCAGCTAGCTAGCTGTGTCACAGGCTAGCTAAAGCCTAAGAGTCGAGTAGGACTTAGGTAGTCAGAACTTGGAAGATAATACATCAGGCCGGCTCGTGACTTGATCTGCTGGCAAATTCCGAGTACAAAAGTCGCTCAATTTCATAACTTCCTCCACCAGTTGCCTCCACCAACCGCTTTCACCAACTTGAAGTTGCCTTCCAGCTCCATTAATCGCAGCTTGCTTGAGCTCCCCTTCCTCCGCTGAAAGGCCCTTTGACCCGCCTTTGGAGTCCCCCAATCCCCAATCTCTACAGAGTCAGCTCAGCAAACTGCACAATGGCCAGAACAAAGGTGACGCAGCAGGACCTTGAGAAGGTACGCAAAATGCTACACAAGACAACTCACATATTCCTGTCTGTCGAAAGCATATTTACCTCTTGCACTGACTATATTGCATCGCAGGAAGAGTCGAAGCTACGGTGTGTCTTTTGCCGCTCACCTGCTGACAATTCTATCCAATATTCTTGCTCCACTTCTGTGTTAAAAGCTACAGTCTAAATTGTCTAACTCTGAGAGCTGCCACTTCAACTCTGTTCTTCAGAAAATCGACATGAAAGGGTCTCCTCTCCTTCATGAGTCTCAAGCACCGTTCGCCTGCAGAACCCTCCTTTGCAAGCGTGGACCGGCAATTTGTGCCAGATCAGGCCGATAATCAGGCAACATACTTCGCTCTGCACTCCCCTAGAATGTTTCTGTTCAACGTCGTTTGATAGAACTGCACCTGATCCAGAGCCTGTCTAACACTTGGCTCATCTTCTTCTGCAACAGGTGATGAACGTGGACGACTGGCTGACTACAACAGATAGGGTTCGCAAGAGCAAGAACCTCCAAGACGCATGGGCGCACGGCGACACCGATTGTGCCTTCCGGATTAACAACATCACGGGAATCCAGAGGTCGCGCAACGCCAATGACTGGAACTACTGGGGTGACATGTCTCAGGTGACTTGTTTGTGCAGCATTTAGATATTCCATTCCTTGCACTTGAGCGTTCAGGGGGGCGCATCAGAAAGCTCCTGTATTGTTTGCTTTCTCAAGTTGCGCAAAACTTGAGTCATGGTGCATGTGTGAGACTCCCACCTTCCGCCGCAAGCCAAAACATCTCATTCCTAGCATTTGTTAAAAGAGGAATACACATGAATAAGTACAGATACCAGAAGAGAGCAGTGGCGCTACATAACAGCCTTCTGAGTTTGGTTCCTTCCCTGTCTCGATTCAAGGCTTTCCTTAAGATCTGAAACCGGTAAGATGCTTCAAATCGAGGAGGTTTCAACAAGTGGCCTTTGCATTCATGAACGCGCTTCACAGTCTTTGAACACGCGCATCAAAGAGGCTGGCTGTCAAAAAAGTGGTAATTACCAGAATTTGTTTACCAGATCATGTAAAAGTGCGGCCGTGTGTGCATTAAAAAACTTCTCATTTGCCCTGCAGATACAAGACGACAAGGGTGATGACTTTGGGACGTACCTCAACTTCAAGTTGGAGAAAAAAAGAGTTGAGATCATTTTCGATCAGATGCCCCAGGTCACTGCTGAGCGCAGCAAGGTAACACATCGACACGTGTAGAATGTCTCATTTCAGCTTGTGTTCAAGATCACACTTATAAACCCGACGACAAATTTACATACTGCGCAGCCAGAGTACTCACCCTACTGATCGTCACCAACCTCTGTCGTTCACGTTTTTCATGACTGAAGGCTTGATTTACGCAGCCTGACGGGCCTTGCACTCCAATACCTAGTAACCAGACCAGTCTTTGAGAAGCCAACGTCTTCATAAAGCATACGATATGCATCACCTCAAACAAAGGGATGGAACATCCAGTTCGTATGCATTTTCGCAGAATTGAAGGCCCTCATGCCCATGCTGAGAACAGCACGAGCATTCTTATCAAGCACTTGTGTAATTACAAATCCATGCTTTTTCAGGCCCGCACTTTCCAGATACAGAGGGCGACCGCTGAAATGAAGTAGTAATTGTCCACCCTAAGTCACATGTGTTGCTTTTCCAACCAGGATCATTCATTCCAGATGGTAACCGGTCTGCTGGCTCAGATGGTGTCATCTCAGACGCTGGGCACATCAAACCTCTTGCAATATTCTGTGCAGGTTTATAACAACACGAGTATTGGTTCCTCAGACATCAATTACGAGTACACGGAGACGGAGTCCACTACGGTGAGGAAGGACGTTGAAATTTCCAACCGCGTGTCCATGACAATGGAAGCTGGAGTTGAGGTCGGCGGCTTCAGCGTCAAGATCAGCTCAACCTCAGAGCAGACTAAGGTGAGTGGCAGCTCAGCCCTGAGATTCAAATATACATCCGGGGTGGGCCATTGAAGGTCTCATAACAAGTAGGCGGCTCGTGCTTTCTTTGGGGGCCCTGCCATAAGCCATTGTGATCAATTCCTGTTATTCAGTTCTTGCACCTAAAAAGCACCGGAGGGCAACTATTTGGACCCTCTTCTTTGAGTCGTTTTTGATGTCGACCTTTGGTCTCAGACTGGGCCATCATTTGGTGAAAAAGTACACGTACGCACAGTGGTGCAGAAACTTGTATCGTGCAACCGCTGCGTCAACACGTCAGTGCACAAATCTACAGAATTGCAACTCAATTGACCACTCGTCGAGAGATTGCTTCGGTGACTCTTGAAGGTGGTCAAGAAACGCTGTACGTCACATATCGAACAGTCAAAGCATTCCACGTACTGAGTTGCAATTACTTTTGTTACAGGCGACCGTGGATAGTACGACCAGAACCGTCGAGAAGTCGGACAAGGTTTGGGGCACCGTTGCTGCCGGGAAGTATTTGGAGGTGCACACCGTCAAGTCGGTTGGAGAGAAGCGATACCGTGTCAAGTGAGCTTGACTGATCCATTGTTCCAGGAGCTCCGCTCAAGATGCTCGGCCGCATCATCCGGTTTCTTCTTTTCTGCTTTATTTTCGCTTCACTCTAGTTGGTGAGGGTTGCATGCTTTTGCCGCCTCTTTGTTTATCCCCCCGGGCCTTGAAAATGGCCTTCCGTCCGGCATATTGCCGGCAGTCTCCTTAAGTATAGTAAACAGCTTGATGCAGATAGTGCTCGGGAGCAGGATTCAGTTCGACACAAACCTTAATCTAGCTGCGTGGCTTTTACGTTGGGCGCAGACCCCTGCATTTAGAACCTGTGCCCATTGAAAGATCCTTAAAAAACAAGATCCTTAAAAATCCTGAATTTGGATTACGCTCAGAGCTCACACAGCCGGAGAAGCGCCGTAGGGACGTCTGCCTGCTTTCGGACTTCTGATCAGTGAGCTTGCGAATCTAGACGTGGGGCCTGTGCTAGCCTTGGGGTGAAATCTCTTGTTTGCCGATTCTTGCAGGATTCCCGTTGTCATGGAAGGGTGGGTCGGTCTCTGCTCGGCCAATGACCAAGGTACCTTTGTTCCATACCCTCTGTACGACTTTGTGGATGAGAAGAGGCTTACGCGCTGGATCACGTTCGACATGTTTGTGGAATCTACAAGCTATATGGTGAAGACCTACACCGAGCCGACGAACCTAAGCGTCAGCGAGGAGGCAGTCAAGAAGGAGTTCCTCAGTGCCTAGTGTTGGCAAAGGCTGGGCTTAACGTCGAACCTTGACTTTGTAGACGAGGTAAAGTCATTGATTGGAAGGTACTGATCTTGTGTTAGACTTCAGGGTAGGCCCGCTGACCGTTTCACTGACAATTAGGAGCTGAGTTTGTACCACCCTTGGTCAGTGATGGCGCATTCGTGACGACGAACATTCACTAGGTCGAGAACTCTCGATAGAGTGAGACGCTTCGTAAATAGAAGACAAGACATACATAGTGGCTAATCCATTCAAAACCATTAGACATTCCTACTTAGATTTGATTGAACTTTACTAAGTCGGCATGCGCGCCATGGACTGGACATACTCAGCATGACTCATGTCGATTGATAGCGTGTAAGAAGAGGAGTTTGATGAGGCAAGTACTCATTCTTCCATTCTCGGATGCATCTCACTTTTCTGGCTAATACCAAAGTATATTCGTTGCTAACTTCAGTGAGCTTCGCATGCATGACACATGCACGCAAGGGATCGCATAAGCACATTGGATGCAAACGGCTTTTCTAGTTCTAGCCAAAAAGAAATGATCGAGGACGGACATGGCATACTTGGAGCTTGCATGCAAGCCAACGCTTTCTGTTTTTTGGTGAGTGCCGCACCTATTCTACTCCATCTCAGAACTTAGATCTTTCTTGCGCAGTCGATCAATTGTCGATCGGTCGATCAAGTGTGGCATATAGTAGGCGTATGATCGACGGCGACATACTGGCCGGACCTAAGCAGAGAGCCGCTATAGTATAGGGAGCAACAATCATGCGGTTCCAGAAATTGTAAGCACGTTGCATACTGTTCAAATGATTTTCCGACGGTTAAGCTAGTCCATCGCAGTAAGTGAAGCATTCATCATGGCATATGAAGCCTTATTGAAGCACGGCCACCTGGCATATCATGTTGTCCCATCGAGCACGTATGGACATGAGATCTGGTTGAAAGTATCTGGAGAGGCGTTCCATTGAATGTTCAGGGATGGCCTCATCACACGGGACAGAAAGCTGTCAACCCCGGAGCTGGGCAGCTGCCACACACAGCGATCCCAAATTGAGGCCTTGGCTTCTTTTACAAGGATTATCGTCCACTTGTCCACAGTACCCTCAATCTTCAAGACAATACGACTTCCGCATAGGAGTGCTAGGCAGTCCCTACTACTCAAACGCCTCAACCGCGTCAATCAGCTTCTATCTGCGTTGCAGACCGAGCACATCTTTCTCCCCGGGCTGTTCTCCAGAGTGCACCTCTCACAGCTCCATCTGCCTGAAGCTTCCCCTTCCGAAACAGTGCCCATGACGTCATCTGCGGCCTTGTCCGGAAGTTGCCGAGCTTCGGAAGATCCATCGCCGTCCGCAGAACCGGAGCCGTCCGCATCTTTCATGTCCGTATCTTGGACGCCCTCGCCGGCGGAGTAGTCTGACGTGGCGCCCCCCCATAGGCCCGTGCCCCGAAATCCGTTCTCCATCTTGCCCGCCTCCTCCGCAGGTTCGAAACACTCTGAGAAGGGCGGATGCGTCAGAATGATGTAACTTCGTCGTTTTCATTTCCTATTGTGAATGCGAACTCGACACAAACCGATCAAAGCCTCGTGTCTCGACGACCACCTTTGAAATAGGTCAAAGTGACAAAGTGGAATAAGGTCGTTTGCTTCGGGGAGGGAGGCTCTAAAGTACGACCAATGTAAACAAAAAGGCGTCACTTTTGCAGTGTCCGTGAATCAGATGACGGTTTCTAAGATATGAAACATATATTGCTCGCTTGGCCAAAGTATGCTCCCCCGCACGCCGGTCCTGCCAAGCTTATGTAGAAGACAATTACATTAGAACCAAAACCAGTACAAAGCCTGATCAATAATACCCCAAATGACTCTACTTCAATGGATCCTGGTATGATGTGGCAGTTTAAAAAAAAAATGTGGTTCTCACACTTGCTAACTGCTTACTCTCCCCAACCTAACTGGCAAAACATTCCCTTCTCGGAAACGTCCTTCCCAGAGACACATCTCCCCGACATAGTGCCGAAGACTGACTGGCACGAAAGAGCTATTCGTCCAGCTCGAATAGCAGGATGGTTATCGATGAAGTATGGGCAAAGTAGCTGGCAAGGACATTCCATACGCAGGTCAAACAAGGACACGTCGCTTCTTAGATGGTCTTGGGCACCCTGGATCTGAGGCCATGTCACAAACCGCAGTCAGGCACAGTACAGAGAAGGTGGAACAATGTGGCTTCTTCACAACCTTTGCCTGGGACATGAGAGCCCCAGAGCCTGACGTCATCATTGCCACGTGCCAGCTTACAAGCAGGGCAATGTCAGCACGTGTTGTTAAAATACAGGCGTGTGGAAAGGCAGGACTCAATTTAATTTGGAGGATCTAGAAAACAGCTCGATCGTTTGAAAACCGTGCCCTGCAAGCTGGACGAGGGAAACACCGAGACTCGCGCACCTACGAAAGTCGAACGTATCGGATAGAAGCACAAGCGTCTGTTTACGCCGTAAGCTTCCATGTTGCCACCTTTCTCGATCTAGACCCTTGCAGAAGTGCGTCTTCATACCGGGACAAATCGTCAATGGTTTCATCTCAATTCTGAACCGAACCATATGTGTTAAGCCCAACGTTGCCAACAATCATCAAGAGCTAATTTCTGGTTGAAAAGGAGAGATAGACCTGGCGACAAACTCACCAACGATATCCCGGTTGTCATGCTCGCCCGTGTTGATGAGCCAGAGGCGGGAGTTAGCAACGATCCCGTAATCCGCCAAGATCTTATCATCCTCGTCCAGCTCACTTTTCAGGAAACCTAGCCGCTGGTTCTGGGAGTCAACCTGCGAACATCAAAAAAAAAGACTCAGCTACTAATAAGTATGTTCCAAATAAGCCCTCAAGATCAGCATCGGCATCCTCAGCGGATCTTGGAACATAACAAAATTCGTCCAACAAGGATAACGAGGCATCGGATTTAGAGTGTACTGCCCATGGACGTCAATTGCATGGCTCGACTGTATGCACGCTAGATCCGAAGTTTCATAGCCAGACAAATTTTCGTGAACCCGGCACCAAAGCTGAGGCCACACTGGCACTTCCACAGAAATCCAAGTTGGAATCGGAGACTTCTGGGTTAAATATCCCAAGTATTAGTGTCTACCTTGGAAATGTCGTGCAGCGGACTTAGGTTTTAAGTTCGCAAGAACGCTCCTTCCTTCAACAAATGCAAAGATACAGAATCGCACCTCCATCCTCTCCCATATGGTCATCTTGAGGTCCTTCACCGTCGTGTCTGCATTCACTTTGACGGTCATCCTCCCCCCTCTGACGGCGGAAACCTTCCGCACGCGCCGAGACCGCCGCTCGCCCTCGCCGCCTGCGCCGGTGACGTGAGCAGGGGGGTCGGGACCGGGGAACAGTTCGACGATGATCTCCTGTTGTCGGTACGAGAGGCGCTCTGCGAGTTCCTGGTCCAGGCGCTCCTTGTAGCAGGCCTCGCACACCTGCGGACGGAAACGGAACGGAACCGGAATGAGGACGGAGTGAGGATGAGTGACGTGAACAGGGGGGTCGGGCCTGGGAACAGTTCGACAATGATCTCCTGTTGTCGGTACGAGAGGCGCTCTGCGAGTTCCTGGTCGAGGCGCTCCTTGTAGCAGGCCTCGCAAACCTGCGGAAACGGAACGGAACGGAAACGGAATGAAACCGGACGGGAGCGGAGCAAAGGAGAGGACGGTAGAGGGATTTGACAATGATTTCCTAATGCCAGTACGAGAGGCGCTCCACAATTCCTGGTCGAGGCGCTCCTTGTAGCAGGCCTCGCACACATGCGAACGAAACGGAACGGAAACGGAATGAGACCGGAATGTCAACGGACAGAAATAGACGATGGACTAAAGAGGATTGGTACGAGCGGCGCTCCACGAGTTCCTGGTCGAGGCGCTCCTTGTAGCAGGCCTCGCACACCTGCGGACTGAACGGAACGAGAACGAGATGAGACCGGAACAGGAGCGGAGAAGGAAACGAATGGAGAGCGGAGGGGAAATAATTAGAATCCAGTTGCCAGTAAGAAGGCGCTGCGCGAGTTCTTCGTCCAGGCGCTTCTTGTACCAGGCCTCGCGGACGGATGGAACAGAACGGCATCAAAGGGAGGACGGAATAAAGACGAAGGCCGAAAGAAGGAAAAGGGCTTCGGAAAGCACTATTCACGGTAGCAGGCCTCAGGCAACTGCGGGCGGACCGGAATGGAATGTGGACAGACGAAGAAGCGCCTTCTGCGATTTAGAGGCCAGGCCCTGTACTTGGTCACGTCTGGTGCGTTGACGCGAAGGAGCCTTTCTGTCTTCTATAGAGTCCCGTTCCGTCCCGTCGAGTTTTGGAGCGTCTTTTGACAAATCTCTCTCCAAAGCAGGTGCTGCTACTTCCCAAACGGCGGACGGGTCCCAAAGTTTGTTCTAGAGCTGCCTTAAGGACAGCAGAAAGAAGAGAGAGGTGCGAGAGTCTGGACGGGTGCGGCAAATTCCTCAGAAGCGAACCGGGTCACAAGGTTCCTTGCAGAGCCGCCTTACGGGCAGCAAAACGAATTCGAGGAATGTACTCTTTCTTGACGGAGAAATACCGACGCCCTTATCAGAAGTCACATCTTAGGCGAAGACTTGCAGATTGGCGTGCATTCTCACCTCTGGTACCGTCTTCAACCGGGGCACACAAGCCGGCTTGGCAGCCTCTTTCGTATCTGATTCTTTCGGCACTTCCGACTTTGGTTCAGGAGGCCCCACAACCGCAGTGATCTCCCTGGAGGAGTGCCACCGTTGCTGGAGCTGTCGCCAGTCGTTCTCTGACACCACGGTCAGAGCGGAGTCCTGCGGAAGGTGACGAGCAGTAAGCGGTGTTAAAAGGAAGGAGCTCCGTCGGTTGACACACATTTTCGGTAAAAAGGTGTCGCAGAAGCGCGCTTGGCCGCTTGGTAGATTGAAAGAAGGGTGCAGCCCTAGGCGTCAAAAGGCATGGAGCGGTGTCAGGAAAGACAAAATGGTAAAACTCGCCTTCTCCTGCTTGCAGTGCATGATTCGGATCGACACGCTTTGTTTCTGTTGAAATGTACGTCGATACTTCGAAACTGGGCCCTCGCAACTTCCAGTTTACAGAACCCAAACCTCCGGTCATCCGTGTCTGTACTTTTCGATTTGCCCACTAAACCTTACTTCGCCTCGGCGGGACTGAGGAAAACAAGACGCTAGGCACACAAACGAGCAGCTTAACAATGACACCATGCGCTCGCAACGATGCGAAGTAGCAAAATTGCTGGCGAGTGTAACCACCTTAAAAACGGGAGACAACGAGGCAAGCAACTTCCGAAGCTTCCCACCAACGAAAATGCACTTGAATATGTAATCTCGAAACCTGCACTGGCTGTGGCGGGCTTCTAATGCTGAAACCCTCGGAACCAAAACTCGAAAACCCAAGAAGCAAACAGATCTTGCCTCACCTTTTGTTCCTGAACCAGGTCGTTCTTCCGCTGCACCAGCTCCGGCGGGCGCACCGCCAATTCCCCGTGCTTGCAGAACACCGCCGCCAGTGCTTCGTCCAAAGGGGGCGGCTCTCCAATCACGTCCAGAGTTTTGCCGGTCGCCCCCAAGTAGTCGCGCCAGCTGTCCAGCCATTTGGAGGGCACCAGGAACGCATTCACACTCTCGGTGAGGGGCAACGGCCGCCCGGCGAAGAGGGCTTCGAGCGCCGCTTTCTCTGCAAGCTTGCCGCTCCTGCAAAGGCAGATTGATTGCCAATATTACAAGACATATATCCAAATCAGTTGCATCATCTGTTTGACAAACGAAGTCGCTCCCACTGTGCTGATGGATCAGGGTGTTTGCTGAGACCAGCTGCCAATAATGTATTCGGCCCTTCTGTGAGAAGACGCACCAACCAGATTCGGTCAGGTCTTTGGTTATTCTCGTGAGCCTGTTCAACATGTGTAGAGTTGCAACATCATACGTCTACTTCCGATCAATCTGCCAGCTGCAGTGGATAATGTATGGTAAGTTAGTGAGTTCGCTGCTCACGATTAGTCCATTGTATTAGTCCATTGTAGTGGCCACTGAAACTGGCAAGTTACTTGAATAAATCTCTAAGTCAAAAGCGTCGAAAGATATTGCAGCGTCCTCACTTGAGCCCTTCCCGGTTGGACATTTCTTCGCCCAGTTCCACGCTACACGTGGCACACTCCAGCGTGTTCACCGTCATCTCCCAGTGCCCCGGGTCGTTCGTGCCGGCCACTTCTTCCGCCACCTCCTGAACGTAGTCCCAAAATTCCCCCGACACTAATTGCCGCTTGGCTCCTGGCGCAAACTCCGGCTTCAGCATCTCGTGCTTGCACCGCAGCGCAGCGGTAGGGCCCTTGTCGGCGTCTGAGGGGGCGTCAACCAATCGCCGCCGTTGCCATTGCGCCAGCCTGAAGGAGGGGGATGCGAATGCAATCATGCTTGAGATGTGAGTGCAGGCGCGCGATGTGAAGCGAAGAAGGCAGTTATAGCCTACTTATATACCCTTCAGGTTTTGCAACTTGACTTTCAATTCAATCTAATTTGAGCAATAGGAGCGCAGATACGCTCAATGAGCGACGACAAGGTCAACCTTTTAAGAATTATAAGCGGAATCCCAAAGAAGGACAAACCAAGGGACTGCAAAGCGATCCAGCTTCTCAAACAGAGGAAATCAAAGTCATTGTCGAAGCCGGTCACACAAAATGAGGACCCCAGCACGTCCTTCCATCTGCTGCCAGGAAGGAACGGCGTCTAATCAAAATGACCTTGCCCAACCAACTGCGTTGTCAAGTGACTAGGGTGGGACGACCGTCAACGACCAAAAGGCGTCGGATAAACGCCTACCCAATTCCTTACTTACCACTGCTTGGACACGTAGTGCGTCCCCGGGGCCCCGAGCGCCAGCTCCTGCTCCAGCCGTTCCCGCATCAGCGTCCGTCGCGTCCGGAAACTGTCCGCCGACTGCGCCGCGCTCGCGTCCTGCCGTATACACTCGACGCAGCACTCCTCGCCGGTCAGCTCCGGTCCGCCCCCGTACCGCTCGTCCAGTTCCGCCCAGGTCACTTTGTTGATCCGTTTCATGAGCGGAACGCTCCGGGGCGGAACGCCCTCGTGCTCGCACAGCAGCGGCGTGTTGTCGATCGGCCCGGGGGGGTCCTTATTGTCGGCCCAGGACCGGAGCCATTCCGTGCTGATCCACCGGAAGTCGTATTCTTTCGGGTCCGCCGCGGCTTCCGCCAAGATCTCCCGTACCTCGCGCCGACGCTGATTCACCTCCGCTTCGATCCGTTCCCGTTCCGACTTGTATGCCTCGATTGCCGCGTCAAACGCCACGTTGTCGTTTTCCACTTCCCGCACCAACGCCTCCGGAGCTTCGATCGTCTCAACCTCGTCCAAAAGTTCCGAACCGTGGACCCCGTTCTGCGATTTCCCGCCATTCCCCGCTTCCCCTACCCCGTTCGTATGGACGCCCTCTCTCGACCCTTGCGCTGGCGAATCCAATGAAATCGCCTTTTCCGCGCTCGTCCCGGCAACCTCGTCTTTCGCAGCCTTCCCCGTCCTCGCGCGCTTCGGCACCTTCTCGCGGCCCTCGCCCTCGCTCTTGCGCTTGGTTTCCTTCCCCGCCGCATCCGCTCGAATTCTCTCCTCCTCTAGTTTCTTCGCGTCCGCCTCCGCTTTCCGCCGCCGCCGCTCCTCCTGCCTCTGCATGATTGCCACCTGGCGTGCGTCCCTCCGCCGATACATCAGCATGTACGAATCCGCTGACGTCAGCAGGTTCGGATCCAGCACCTCCGCTGCAGCTACACCCTCCGCCTTCGACGGCCCGACACTCTCCTCCCCCTTCGCATCCTTCTCGTTCTCCCCACCTCCCTCTTTCTCTTCCGGTTTTTGGCCGTTCTCTTTCGCCTCTTTCGCCGCTTTCGCGCTCGCATTTGCTGCAGCTTCTCCCAGCGGGTGCGCCCCGAGTGACGTCACCAGTTCGTCATCGAACTGCCACCAGTCCCCGGTGCGCTCGTCCTTGACGTGCGCAATGTAGTGGCCGCTCGTGGCCATTGCGCCCTTGTGAACTAGGATGGCGGCTAGATCGTAGAGCCCCTCGCTGCTTCCGTCAGCGACCCACTCTGGTTCTGAGGAGGAAGGGGCCTGAGGCTCCGGAGTAAGCCGAGAGTGGAGGTCAATCGAGATCGGGAAGCTGAAGCGCGAGGTGACCTTCTTCTTTGTGGCGGTCTGCAAGAGAGAAGAAACTTCTTGAGTCAACCTTCCAACAAATTTGATATCATTTAACTTTTTTCGGAAGCAGTGCCCGATGCTTAAAAATCCTCAGGATCACCTTCCTTAGTAGCGGAAAATTCAGGTCAGGCATCGTCCACAACAGGCTCGCTTACCAATTTGATGCTATGGTTTGCCTCACTGAAGTTCACATACAGATTGGAGAGGTCCTCAGGCGTGGCTGACTTCTCGTCGACTTTCTACCAGGTACGTCCAAGCTTTCCGAACCGATGAGCGAAGGGCAATACTTGCCTTCGACGCATAGAGTACAAGACCAAGAGCGGCATCCGTCCATCAGAAGGTGCAAGCAAAGCTCTCCTATCTCGACGCCGCGGGATCAACGTCTCGGCACTTCAACACTCGACCTGAGGCTTCGTACCTTGTTGTTGAACACAAAGCGCTTGAGCTGAAAGTTGAGCAGCGGGGGCAGCGACCGAAGCTTCACGCTCCGTGTAGCGTCCACGCGCGCGTTGCAGCGCTCGCACATGTACTGGTTGTCGCCCTCGAGAAGCTCCTCCCCTAGATAGTCGTCTAGGCTGGTCGCTAAACCCTCAAATCCTTTTACGTTAACCTCGAGTTCATAGAAGTCGACCAGGTTCTTGGACGAATCGGACTCGTTGCCGCAGACCGAACACCTGAGATGGACAAAAGGAATTTGCATGCTTGGGGCCGTATGGTTGACCGGAATGACTGTTCTCCTTCTCTCTCTCTTTCTTTCTCTCCCCCTTCCTCTGTCACTCTCTGTTTGACATGTTGAGAAGAAGCGAATGACCGTGGCAATGATGTTTACGTACGAGTAGAAAAAGACGAACGATGACGCAATGGCAGCATCTTCCAACATTCTGGAGACGAAGGATGGAAACGAACACAAGAATAAGCAAAGACAAAACGGAAGAAACCCACGCACCTGGTGACGTACGAGAAGGTCCCCCGAAAAAGTCCTTGGACAAGGTTTCGGACGTCCGGCTGCGCAGACTGCTCCAGCAGCTTCTCTAGCAGCGTCAGCAGCAGCTTCATAAACTCCTGGCCGTCCTGTTGCACGCCGTTGTCCAACTGGAGCGTCTTCGCAAACACCGCCGGATCGACAGGGTCCTCGTTCGATAGTTGCAGCTTCACGAACAGCCGGCAGAGCTGCCTTAGAACCGGGTTGCCCTCCAGCAGCTGCTCCTCGGTGCAAAACAACCCCTTTCTAAAGTCGGCGTTCATGTACAGGCACTGCAGGATCGCGTTCACGTAGCACGTCGCGCCAAGGTTGGTTAACCCGATCGGGTCATCGTGGGAGACCCGTTTTCGGAACGTGGGGTCTTCGCCCAGAGCGGAGACGGCTTCGGGGGTCTTGCACCAGAGCCCCTGCTTACGCACGCCGTTTGGGGGGGGTATCAGAGCACAGAGGCAGTTGGGGGAGTCTTTCGAATTGACACGGTCGCCCTGGCATACTGGTCGGTCCCAGTGGTACAGCTTGCCCTTCTCTGCAAAGCTCAGCTCCTTAGACGCAGCCACTTTCCTGCCGGAATGAGGTCAGCGCAGTGTCAGCAGTGCCAGCTGAAGGGAGGTATGCTCGGCAAGGGCATTGCTTGTGGACGATGGAGGCATAAGATGAAGAAAGTCTCGGAAGTGGATGTTCTCACAGCTTTTCGGTCTCGTCTAGATGAATGTGCCCCACCCTCAACAGAGAGAAAGTACCGAGCTCCCACAAAGGTCAAAACCATCATACATCCACTTATGCATTTTTGTCTAGAAAAGCAGGACGAGCTTTCGAGTGACAGGCACCCTTTGTCTACAGAGGCGTAATTGAGATTGTCACATGCAACTCAATGATTGAAAGACAGCACAGGCCCCGTTGAACTCTATCCACAATTGACACAATTGGACATACCTGCTTTTCTTTGGAGCTCTAATCCTGCGAAAGGAAGACAAACCAAATGCTGTTTCTGAAAGATTCATGCGCAAAAGAAAAGTGGAACCACAACAAGACAATTGAAACAACCGGGGTACTTTGGCACCTACCTGAGGACATCTTGCCTTGCCTCCCCAGCATCTTTCACTTTCTTCGTCTTAGCTCGAGTCCCCATCTTTTCAGCAAGCGCGAACCACCTTCAGCTTTCAGTGACAACGCGCCCGAGGCGTCACATCGCAGCCAGACTCCTCGTGCTTAAAACGAGCCTCAGGTTGGGGCTTCCTGGCCGAAGGATGTGACCAACTCAAAGTCAGCTTGACATCAACTGTGCCTAGTGCCGCTTACATCAATTGAACAGGCTTCGCCTAGCTGTATCAACAATTTGCGAAGGTTTGCTGCACAATCTTTCAGAGCCTTCAGCCAGACCCTTTGTAGAAGCTTCTTCAAGGTGCCAAGGAGTGTTTGGCGGCCTGCATCACGAGCTTCCCCTCCTTCTTCAGCTCCTTTCTGACTCGATCTGGTCAGCTTGAACTCCTTCGAAAATAACTTTCTCTTTTTTCTGCGAATTTAAGGTAGTGCTTGGGTATCTTTGACGTACGACACTCGAGACTACCATTGTTGAATAGAATGGTATTCCAATAAAGTGGTAGTGTCAAGGGTTTGCCTTCCGGACCCTTTCTTACTCCGGGGTTAGAAGGATGGTACACTGCTGTAATGGTCACAGTCAAATTTTCGACCACTGGTGAAGGCGATCAGAAAGAAAGGAAGTTGAAGGAGGCGTTGGTGCGTTGGTGGGGCGCAATCAATCGTTCGTCCATTTGAGAGTATTCTGCAACAGTTCCCCGTTCTCTGACGAGGGCAAACGAGAGGGGCAGACATTGTGGAATTGCTTGCTGTATCACTCGCTTCTGTTGCTGTCGCTTGTAGGTTGTGACGTGGCCGGAGCGAGTTGGAGATCTCTGTGCAATCGAAGGGCACCACAGAGCAAAACTCAAGCCGCTGTCTTGACTTCGATTGTGAACCTCGATGGTGAGGTCTTGAGGAGGATCTGAGTGACGGATCTTGAAGCAAACAGAAGCTGCAAAGAAGCCGAATCAAATCCGAGAACACAGAGGCCAGTGCAGCAGCATGGGGTTCTTCATCACCACCGTCATATTTCTGCTTGCGGGGTTCGTCGGCATCGGCCTCTTCCGGGTTCTTTACAACAAGGGCCCGGAGACAAATCTGTAAGTCAGCTTCATCTAATGGCACACGCAATTTCTAGAGGCAATTCAGATGCTTAAGTTCCATTCAAGGTGAAAGATGTGTTCTGAAACGATTTTCAGCTGCTCAACCATAGCGCCTGGACCTACGTTAGACAGAGCATCATTCAACCAGTTTCGTGGTAATATTGGCCTTGTCCTCGGAAGGTGAAAAGGAACTGCGCATACCGCCAGTCAAGCCAGGCCTAGTCTGCCAGTTTCACAGCTTCACATGCCTCTTGACTTTCTCTACTGCCTCGATTGCTGCCCTGAAGCAATGGCGAATTTACAGCCCTGCGAAGCGGATGGACACATTTTGGTAATCGAGAGTCATGCAATAGATTAATGACAAGATTCTGAGCTTGAGTCCTTTGCGAATATGCTTGTCTGAAGTTGAAGGTGTCTTGAGGCATTCATATGTGAGCCGATTTGCCCAAGCTCAGGATCGGGCTCGGAAGATGCATCCTGTGGTTGACGTTAGTCTGGGCAAGGTCAATCTAGAGGCTGAAGGGCGAAACCATGTGTCGCTGCTCTGCCAACATGTGTGTGCTTAGAGCCAGGTGATACTTTGTGTGTCCTGTAAAAGACTGCAAGGCTGAACTGAGTGACGTGTCTGAGCTCGCCCACTTATCAGTGTCCATCGCCTGCCTGTCAACTCTTGAATGAATTATGCTTTGACTATCATTATTGGGGAGGGAACAGTGTCAATTGAAACGGATTTTCTCAGCGGGCACCAAGATGTCTTCGGTCACTGTGATGCATTCATTACTCAGTATTTTTAAAAGGCTTCAAATTAATTGGAGATCAAAGTAGGGTGTTGTGTTGATGTCCTCGTTCATCGTTGTGGACTTTTTGCGTCGCAGGTTACACTACACCTGGGTGATCACTGCTACAATCTGTTGCTGGCTCACGTAAGTTCCGACCAGATGTTTCAGAATGGGGAGGTGCAACTAATTGCTCAATTACATGACTGGGAAATCTGCTGATCAGAAGTTCCATGCAATCTTCATGAGATTGCTAGTTTGTCATATTTGACCACAGGAAAGTTGTCTAAAAGCAAGCAGACTTATTCCAGAACCGCGCAGAGAAAGTCTAGCATCTGTGTATTTGATGCCTATGTTCTGTTGGTGAGCCAGCCCTTCTACAGGAATTTCGTGTGTTTCTGCGCAAGCCGCCTCCAGGATTGATCTCCCTTTCAGCATCTGCCAACTGATAGGTCCTTCCTCGGTGCAGGTGGGCTATCGTTTACATGGCGCAGATGCACCCTTTAGTTGTCCCTATACTTAAAGCAGAGGGAGAATGAGAACGTAAAGGAACAATCGTTTGAGTTGACAGCTCTTTGTACATCTAAAGCGAAGTAAATATGCAAGCAACGTCTTCCCATAGAATCTATGGAAGAGGCCTTTGAGCAGGTTTTATACAGGACATCTGCAAGACAAAGTATTCATCCTTTAGCGATGGACGAAGCTGGCACAAGTTATCATAGCATCGCTCGTTGTTTCCTTCATGATCTGCAGTGTAACTGATCCTTGACCCTGCGGCAGGTTTCAAATGAACTGACTATATAACTGTGCATCTGATTGCAATGATATCCTTTGCCGAGGTGTATGCAGGCTCACAATGATCGTTGTTGCTGTGCTAGATATGATAGCTCACATGCCGCAGTGCTAGCTATATAGAGCAATGCTGGCAGTCACGTGCTGTAAAAATGTAGGTACTGAAACTTTGCAGCTAATCATTCAGTGCCACAGTAATATGAATCTGGCTTGTATGTACGTCACTGAACACGAACTTGTGATTATGGTGCATGGCTGCCGGCAACATTGCATTGCCGTTTCGCGATGAGCTGCACATGATCGGTCCTGCATGGGCGCGGCCGCCCGTGCAGCGCGCCTGCCGCATTGAAGTACGTAACCTCAAATAAGCGATGATTCTTGAAGCGAGGCGGCTTATGGGTTTGCAGCATGCAGTGAGTGATTGGGACATTGTACATACAAGCACAACTGCAGACAGCCACCTAATCAGAAGTGCAAGACTCATGTGCATCGCGAGGCAGAACGATGGCTCATGCATCTTGCCGTGTCCGGAACATGCAGCAGGCTCATTTCGTTTTGGGAAGCTGATGCATGAGACCTCACAATTGTCAAAGCGGACAGGCAGGCTATGGACGCAGTTTTCCCATCAAAACCGGTGCTGCTTCTGAGTTTGAAGATCTGAAACAACCCGTGTTTCAAGGACTCTATAGCGGAATGTGACGTACTCTACCCATGACAGGAGATACCTGCACGACCAATCAGAGGCATCAGGCGAGGCATCCGTACCGCTCGTGAAACATACAAGCAGCCTGTTACAGCGGAACATCGGAATCATCCTCAATCGCCCTGTTCGGCAGCAAATTTTGTAGGATAGTGATGCTGCAGAGGTTTCCCTTTACAGCGGTGTTGAGTGATAACAGAGTCTCCGACTAGACTCCAATACAAGCCAGAAGGGACATCCCGCTGTCACGAGGTTAACGTCGCCAGAAGGTAATGAGCAAGGGGTGGAATCTGGCTCGAGCTTTGGGATAGGAACGTTCGTGTTATCCGCTGCATTCGTCAGGTTCAGCTATTTGGCGGGAGGCATCCAGGGTCGTGGCTTTGAAACGAGTTTATGGCAGTGCTCTAGGAGCCGGTTTTAAGCCGTGTTGTCTTCTTTCCCGATCGGCCGGCTACTCTCGATCGGGCAAACTTTAGAGCAACGATTTTTGGAATCGCTCGTAATAAGTTTCAGTCAGATCGTGATCCGAACAGGTGCAAAGAGTCAGGGTCGTCACTCAACTCTAACGACTGAGTCCTTCGACGAAATCCAGACCAAAAGGTCGTCACAAGATCCGTACACGAGACGTCAAACAGAAACCGGAAAAAGACGGGTGGCGGTAAAGGAATGGATGGCGAAAACAATAGCGTAAAAGGACGGTGGCTCACAACAATAGGATCCAGACCGCCAGGAACTGGATCCAGGCATACTTGAGGACCTCCATTAAGCCCGGGATATAAGCCACCGACTCAAACGGCGGTATCCGTATCCGTTCGAAGATCGTGAAGTCGGTCCCATACCCGGCCTGCCAGACGGCATACGAGCTGACGAATTCCGTTGTCTCTGCGGATAAGATATGCGAAGGTAAGTGGACAGATGCATCAAACAGGGAACCTTCGAGCGGCGAAGACGACGATTTTGAAACAAGTCTTGAATGTACGATTTGCTCACGGGCTCGACGCTCATGCCGTTGAAACCTAGGCCTTTTTTTGTTCCTGAAAACAGGAGCACAAGAAACGAGTCACTCTCACGGATGATCCTTCTTCCGACAAAAAAACGGGTGAGCCTTTAGCCGAGCAGAGAGACCGTCAATCTTTGTCAACAGCATGATTGCCAGGCCTGTATACAGAACAAAATGGCTAGAGCTCGTTTGTTAGGTTGGCAATTTTGGCCAGCAGATTGGACATCCTGAAAGTGCACTCATGACATGAGTCCTCAGAATGAGATGACGCTCACCATTGCGATCTAGATAGTCGCGCAGTATGGACTGCATTTGCACGCTTCGGCTGCAGAGTCGAAATTGACGGGATCAGAAATCCTGACTTGATCGATTCCGTTGGATAAAACTTGTGAGCAGATCCCTGGAACTTGTTCTCTTCCAGAGTGGGAGCCGCTCGCTTTCGACCGTCAGTTCTGGTGATTGAAACTCCGTACAATGGGACCTCATTGACTCTCTCCTCACATTTTCAGGGGGTTCAGGCGAACCTTCTGAACGTGTGGAATGCCAACGACGGCTGTACATCTATCGACATGATGCATCCACCTTCCTCCACGCTCGCGCGTCGCTTTGCTCTAAAACTTTGTCAGATGTTCATTAGTGTTTCGGGAAATAGCCAACCACGTTACCACTCCAAGCAGCTCGAGCCAAACCTGCTTCGCAACTGGCGTCATCATCGTGCTCCTTTCGAAGGCTCGTCTCGTTCCTCGAGGCAAGAACCCCGCAATGTTTATGCTCTGCCCCGACAGGCTCCTGAGAGCCAATTGCGCGTTTCAATATCTTCTGTGTGCTTTTTTGCAATCGACAACCGCTGTCTTGGTCGAAAGGACTCTTTCGAGTTTTGGCAGTCGGGGCACAAGGACCGGTAGGCTCACCTGTCCAAGCTCTGCCCTGACGGCCCCCCGGGAGCTAACGCCGGGACGTCGTACAGCACCCGGTTGTTGTCGAAGCTAAGCGGCCGCCTCTGGCGCAGCCGCAGTTCGCCGTCGACGTGTAACTCTGAGCCAGGGAGGGGCGACGCATGGTGGATGTAGGCTAGGCTCTGCATCTGCATGCGTATCCGCCCCTGCACGGAGTGGGAAATAAGTAAACGTTGGTGTCGGTGTTGTTGGTGTGTGCCTTTAGGCGCTTGCAGAAAGGAGTAAAGCCTATAACATCTGACACCAGTCGTCCAGCAGCTCCAATCGGGCAGGGAGTGGAGGGTCAAACCCCCTTTATCTAGCGCACCTCCCACTCCCTTATCACATCATGCTGGGCAAAGGCCATACGGTCGGCGATGGCCTTTTTTTCAAACTTTCAAATTCTGCGATTCTGTTGAACGGCTTTACCTGTATCTGGTACCGGAACTGCAGCAGCAGCTTGACGCTGTGCACCGGCCCCGCGCCGCTGACACGCGCGCTGACGTCGATCACGTCTGCATTCCCGTCGTGGTCCGAGTCGGTCTCGGTCGCGCGCACTTCGACCGCGGCCAGCTTGTTCGCTAGAGCGCTGTTTAGCGTGGGGAACGTGCTCCAAAAAATTTCTTGACCGGGACCCTTTCCCTGAATGGAACGGGAAAATATCTTTGAAAGACTAAGGAGTGGGGGATATACACGAAACTCAGTTGCACGCAACTCGAGTAAGTAGCGCAAGCGGTGTTCACGGCAGGGAAGATCGTTGTTGAATGTTCCTGGCCAGGAATAATTGCCTCTAATGTGATTTGGGACGTATCTGCTTTCCAACAACATTTCTGCAAAGAAAGATCGGACTACTATGTAATCAAATTACTACACACAAATACGGGGGTGCTGCCAACTCAACAACGTCGAAGGCGTGTCACTCCTGTGCACTCAAAGACTTGGAAACGGTCAAAATGAATGTATCTTGCCTTCAAAGACACTGGGGTCTTACCTCAAGCAGTAGAAGGGCGTCATGGGTGAAACGAACGGCAGGTTGCGCAGTGAAAGTGGACTCCTTCAGCCAGAAACCTAGAAAGCAGAGATCGGAAATTTGGAACAATCTTGGCTGAAATGCTTCAAATACTGCGATAAGAAGGCGACTGCACTCATCGAAGGACTTGCTCTTGCAGTCGCAGGAATCCGTTATTCAAAAGCCAGAGGTAACAGGAACAAGTTCAGCGCTTGTAGTACTTCACGTGCTTTATCTAAGTAGCAAATTCCTCATCACAGCCACCAAGAAACCTAAGAAATCTGGCCTGCGAAACTGCGAAGCTCATAGAAATCCATGACCGATTGGGGTCTTCAGATTTCGCAGGCTTTGTTCTTTTCTGAGAGTTGATATGTAGTAACTCCTATCAAGAGCAAAGCCTCAATCCCCTTTTAAGATTGAGGGGAATGTCGGTGGGAGAACATTAAGGCATGCCTCTCATGCAGTCCCCTTGTTTGCCTCTTGTCAGCCGATCAATTGTCATAGGATGTGATTTTGCCAGCGGCTCTGTATGGGGGCCTGTCAAGAGCGTTGGACTGTAGATATCAATGTGTGGCCCAGCTGCTACCCTGATAGTGGATAGAGCATGGATTGATGGCCCAGATAAGCAGCTTGTTTGTATCGTGCGGATGCCTAGATTTTCTTCTCGTGAATTCCTTTCCCTTGATGTGAAAAGTGGTCGCGAGGATGTCAAAGGACTCTGCACTTCAACCTGAGCTCAAGTCTCAAAGTGCACAACACGGAAGGGCCATCAAGAGTCCAGCAGCCCCAGACTTCAGACTGTGGCTCCATGTCTTGGAATTACTCAGAATGATCGGGAGCCAGCGAGCTCACCTTGTGAGGAATGCACAAAGATGAACGTCAGCACCAGGATGGCCACATGGCTGGCCAGCCTGAAGCAGAACGCTGCAGACCATCGACTCGCATAGTGGCGCCGCTGCAAGGCCTCTCCGTAAACTTGGACCATGGTCAGCTTCTTGGGACTCAAAATATCTTCCTACTTTCCTGAGCTGCGAGAAGCAGCATACATGTGAGCATATTGAGTTTCAGATACGGTACGCTTACAAGCTGGTTGTACTGCCCGTTTAATGGTGGTACTGCCCGTATGTAGCTAGATTGGGTATCTTTGATCAAACATCCAGGTGTAGCTCAAAGAAGCCTCCCAGGCATGAAATTCACCCTGAACAACTCAAAACTTCAAAGCGGGAGCATTTGCAATGCACTTGAGCCGGCTTTGTGCACCTTGCTAAGGCTTTCGATTGAGAAGGATCTGACAGTGAAGGATGCTCTGCTCCTTCGAGTCCTTGTCCGTTTTCATTCGCTCACTGAAGGAGAAGGAGGAGGAAGCCCCAGTTCACAGAGCACCACTTCGATTTTAGGGTTTGGCTCCGGTGTGAACCCTAGAATGGCCAGCAGAGCAAGGACTGTGTGAAAATTCATCTTGCTCCGCCAATTCTGTGCAGACCCGTCCCTCTGAAGATCGAACGGTTTTACAAAGTTCTGACCGCGCCAAAATCGCATTTACACCAGGCCTCCAGCGCCGGCGCTTCGGTTGGAAGCAGCATGCATGCTGAACTGGGAAAACTCGCGATTGTGAAATTCAAAAGTTAATATACTGTACATATATTGTGGACGAGCAGCTTGGGACTCGGAGAAGGTTCAAGGGATAGCACTGGATTCAAGAATCTCTGCAAAAGCGCAAGCTCCTTGAACGGCGACAGAAATCCTCACCAATGATCATAATTTCTTCCTGAGAAAGCTTCTGAAACGAGCACTGTTGCGTCCTGCATTACAAAATCTTGGTTTGTTTGCAGGCAGCTGACTCTGACCCTTTGAAGGTGGTTTATGTACGATTGTGCATTTGAATGATTATCAGCGTTGCTGATGTTTCAAAAAGTAGCTCTCTTGAAGTGGGCTCGCCAAACCCAGACAGCCCTGCGGGGTTCGCAGCAGCAGATTCAGGGCCTCGTACATACCACCACTTACATCAAAACCCCAAGGGAGACTTCCTTATTCAAGATTCAAGGCATTCCAGCTACCGTTGATCAACAACACTCCAAGCTTACAACCAGGAAAGGAGACTCATTTGAGGCGCCGGTCGCTATCGGCAACCCTCCCCGCTTTGAACATGAAAAGCCAGGGGAACTTCTTCAACCTTCTGACCCCTCCCAATTGGTGCACAGGCCGGGTTTGGTAGCTCTTATGTCAAAGGACGTAACTGCAAAGTTAGGGAAGCCTTTCCTTGGCTGCAAAGCTAACAGACTCCACTCAAACGCCCAGATCTGTGCATTGCAGAACAACTTCCCTCACAACAGCGACTATGTCATTCAGACTGCTGTTTTGCCCAAGTACCATAGCGTAGCATTTTTTCATCGGTGGCTCCACACAGTGTCAAACGCATCAGTGGAAGGCCAAACGGACCCCTGGCCCGTTGAGATCAAGGTACAGAAGAAAGGCAAGGTGAGACATTGATCTTTCAAAAGGACCACCATTATGGGCTGCCTGGAGGTGGTAAGTAGGACCCAAAGAGATTGTCAGCTGCTGTCAAACTGCCAAAACTGTTAGGCTGGGACAACTCGCAGGAGATTTGCAGGAGGACGTTAATCCCTGAGTTTATAGTTGCAGGAGCTCTTTGAGTTCGCCTTGCCTACGGGTGTTCAACTCTCGTTGCAGATTGCATTGCCAGCAGAGCGTGAAGCAACATGGTTTCTTTTCCTGCGGACTCAAGTCACGCTGACTCTCAAGATCACAATTGCAGGTTCTGGAAGTTGCCTTTGCAGACGAGCAGCGCTTCACATTTCCAGCAGAGCTTCTTCGAGTTGAAAGCCCTTCCGCCGACAATCGTCGCAAGGACCAAACTGGCGCAACGAGGTTGGTATCTGGAAGGAAGCATGTAAGCATTCTTGGAGTGGAGCCTGTGGGAAACTACGCTCTTCGTGTAAAGTTTGATGACCTACACGAGAATGGAATATATACGTGGAGATATCTCTACGACCTGGGAAAGAATAAGTACTCGCGTAGTAAGGCATACATCAAGCACTTGCGAGAGAGAGGGCTGTCTCGAGAACCTAAGCGGCGGTAGAGATGCCCGAATATTGTGCCCCGCCTGGAAATGCTTCCTGGCCGGCATCATTCTGCACCTCGATTTGCGGGGCTTCTTTTCCCTTAATTGGGGGCCCATCGCCTCATTATGGGAAGCAAACTAACGCTCACTAACAACTGTTGCATCAATCCCAACTTGCAATTTCGATCAACAGATATCACATGGCTTTGAACGGATTGCATATGATGGATATGTAGAAGGCTTCTGCTAGCCGGCCGCGTGGTGGCCCTGGAGCTCAAGCTTACAACACCATCATCCGCCTATAAAGCTAACTAAATATATAACGTACATGATCGCTCTATGTGGCTCAGGGCGTTTATAAACCGTAAGTTACCATCGTTGTAGATCATGGCATGAGAACTATGCCATGGGCCTTCGATCTATATACTCTTCATGCATAGCATATTATTGATCGTGTTCGTCGTTGTTCCGACATGGTAGCTGCCATCCTCAATTCATGCGCAGGCCCGCGCGCCACGCGCTGTATAGCTAGCTCATGCAGATCAATATAGGTACATGTACGCATCATCAAACTCTGCCATGCAGCTCAGTCGCCGCCGCCCGCCGGCACTCATATTTACGTATGCTTAGTAGGCGGCACCTGCGCCGGGCCGGCCGGGATGGCAATATATGCACCAGCGCCGCCAAACATGGTTGACAATGCCTATATGAATCCCAACTATAAGGAATATTCATATAGCTAGCTAACTTGAAGGACGATATATTGCATCGACGTCGGATCAGTGTCGTTTCATGGCTGCGCAGCTGAGCATGCAATCAATAATGCTACATGCAACATGGCTAAAACTTATAGCAAACGTCGAGACCTTCGAATTATTCAAGAGCTTTGATCGTCAAGCACAACGTGCAGCACTTCTGATCTATCTTCGATCAGCGTCAGTGGAACTGACAAGCCGGGCGCGCATGCGGCCCTTGCCTGGCTGAGAAACATGCGGCCAGAGCCACTTTTCGGAACGAACGACGCGCTCGCGGACCAATGTTTCAACTCAAGTCTTCCTGACAACCGTATAACAAGGATGGATGCATGATCGAACACTTGTCAAAGTCAGTCGTCGGATCTTGGCGACTGGACTGCAAATGTCCATCTCCAGAGTCTCCTATTAGTTCTTCCAAGAAGCCCCGGAAGATGTCAATGCCTCCTACCACTGCTTCCCTTGAAGGCTCTATTTCAGGTATCATATGATCTTAGCTATCCAACTCGAGCAACTGTGTGCCGCTGCAATAGCACAGTTGGCGTTTCCGGTTTCAAACAAGGTAGAACAGCCTCAGTCCCGTGAGAGCTGCTGGGCCACTAAGATTGCCACATTCTCTCTCTACTAAGACGGGCCTTGATTGTCCAACAAAGCAGGCTCGATCAACCTAGGGAGTCGTCCATCTAAGGCGATCACCACCTCTGATGTAACCACACATTAACCTGATGCCGTGTTAAGGGGCTGCGGTCTCGCATGGATCATCGTAGCCCTGATGAACTTGATTCCGGTACTCTGCACAATATGGGAACATTGGTATGAATCGAAACAAGAGGACATTGTTTTCGAAAGCACAAGGCATTGCCGTTATTGTGTGATGCACTTGACACACCAGACCGGTGCGAGAGCGCATTGTTATCACACAGATATCACAATCGACCTTGATTTCTTGTCCGAGACCATTCAGCAAAGCTGTATATGTAGATGATTTTCACCCTGTCGCAGTGGTGGTGCACTGACGGGAGTACTTTTCAGTCACTTGAAATTTGCAGCCTTTGCATTGGACATGAACCTTGACATTTAGTTCTTCCGTCCATGGTTTTCAGATCACAGCAGAACCGTCGTTTAAACCTAAGAACAATCAGAAAAAGATTCTGCAAGATCCCTCCTGCCACAACGTATGAATCTTGATTCTTCAGCTTCCTCATCGGCCTTGAATAATAACCTTGCTGAAGATATGACAGGACCGCTTTGATTGCAGAAAATGTATCGGCTCAGGGAGCTGCCCAAACAGACAAGCAACGCAACCCCCCAGATTTTGACTGCGCACTCTAACTCCTGCAAAACTATCGCTGTTGGCTGCTCAGCGCCTTCTTGACCAATGGAGCTTCTTCCACACCTTCAGGCTTCAAAACTAGGAGCATACGGAGGAGCTGGCTTGAGCTCCGAACCCAGATTGTCAAGCACTGACTCCCCTGTCCCCTCCACGGTTCGTTTATCTAAGACTTGCACAAACGCGGCTTTCAGCTTAGAGTCAGAATGAACAGAGCGCTGAAGAGGCGGTCCAGACCAAGGTAGTAGGTTCGAACTCTTCATGAGGTCCTCGCCTGGACAGTAGGTGCACACCAGACATTCTGTTGAGCAGTTGTGACAATCAGCGCCTTCTCCAAATGTACAAACAAGGTAAGCTCCGCCGAAAGGGGGAAAACTCACGGTCTAGAGTCATGGTTCCGTTGCTCGCTCCTTGGCTGCTATGCCCTCCCGGTCCTATCTTCGAATTGGAGTCAAAAAGGTGCCACAACAAGATTATGAGCATGACTGGGATGAGGAGAATCAAGAGGAGCATAGACCTCTTTCTCTCAATATCTTTCCTGTACGCTTGCTTAAGAGCTGACTGCAGCTCTACCAAGTCCTCCGGTTCTGGGTCAAGTAGACCCTGGTCGTCCCTCAGCCCCAGCTCAACCTCTCCATTCTCGTCCCGACTCCTGTCCCCTGCCATTGACCTCCACTGGAACCTTCAGGTCCTCCTCACGCCTTGCAAGCGAACCTCCAGAATGTGTATATCTTTGATTGCAGCTGGAGAGTCGCCACTTGCATCAAAGTGCAGCTTCAGCAATGCAGGAGCGGATTGCTTGTAGCAGGAGAGAGGGGCAGATGATGAAAAGGCTGGCCGAGCCAGGGCCCCTGCACAAGCCGGGCTGATTATCAGTATGATGTATCTAGGATTACAAGGCTTATATCCAGGTTTTACGCAGCATACGCAACCACGTCCCAATAATGTTTTGGCGTGTTTTGTTTAGAACTCGGCTACCGCTGCACTGATCTCCTTCAATTCAACTAGCTTAATTCCTACCTAGGTCGCTCGTAATCAAGAATTTGTGGATATATTTGGATGAACCAAGCCATAAGCGATAGGCATCTCCGAAACCCCATTGAATTGAACACTTTGACCCAGTACCTGTTCTGCACTTCTCATGCAGTCCAGTTTGTGTCTTGAAACCTTCACCTTCAAAAGTTCTTGTCAATGTAACCGAGGAAAGCTGTCGCGACAAGATAGTCGATAGTCTAATAGTAATAGGAGGAAAGGAAGCTGTTCTGAGTTCATCATCAGGAAAAGCGCGGAGGCTTCTGCAGTGGTGCTGCAGAGTCTCCAAGGAGGGGAAGCACTTGGCGTGGATCATGATCTATACGACCTTGGACACATTCTACTTGAGCGATGAGCAGCTTGCGGACTCCCCCTCTAGAAAGGACGGGATTGACGAGAAGACAGAAACAGCGCTAAGGCTGTATGGCTGTGAATTGATCCAAGAAGGATGCATCCTGTTGCGGCTGCCGCAGGCGGTGGCGGCTACCGGTCAGGTCGTCCTGCACAGGTTCTACTGCAAGAAGTCGCTTGCCAAGTTCAATGTCAAGGTAAGTCTGTTCTTTACTTGGGGTTTGTCCAAAAACAGCAGTTGGCACGCACAACTTTTCCCTGAGGCTTTATCTCCACCTGACTGTGTCGGGTCGCTTTGCAAGGTTGTTGTACTTTCCAACTCCCATTTTACCACCTTAAAAGCATATGATCACCCTAATGACTGTTGAAACACCATTTTCTCCGGCATTCGATTGCGTCTGATCGAAAGTTACCATGCCGCTTTTACCACGTCATACTCTTGGTATGTGGTTTACTCTACCACCACGGAAGGCGATCACCACCGAGTTTCTCCCTACTTTCCTAGCTTGTCCATTCTGCTATGCCAGCAGTAATAGGTATAAGAGGATTTGTCAGGAAGTCTGTGGTTCCTCTCGACCACTGTCTTGCATGCTTCCGACATCCAAGTTCCTTATTGTTCGGGAGATTGTTGTTAGACAGAAACTGCTGCAACATCATTGTTCGTAGCTTTGCAAAGGAAGATGTGCTATAAGTAAGGGATAGTATCTGACCCCGGGAATCTGCTTCGTGCAGCGCGTGGCGGCCAGCTGCGTTTGGTTGGCGGCCAAGCTGGAGGAGGCGCTCTCCCCCAGGAGGACCAAGGACTTCCTCAACGTCTTCCACAGGATAGAGCAGCGCAGGGAGGGGCGCCTGCCAGAGCACCTGGATTACTATAGCAAGGTAAGAACGGTCCCGATTACGACGGTTTGTCTGTCTCTGTTTTGGTTCCGCTAGAAGTGTGTCTGGGTGAGCCGCCATGCCTGTGTCCGGAAGCACTTTGTATTAGATTCGTAATTGACTTTGTACCGGTTTGCATGAACATGCGGCCGCGCTTTTGGTTGGTGTCTCGCCGAGCGGAGAGACTCCTCGATAACATGAAACCTCGAATTTGAACAGGAGTTGTGTTTCTCGTGAAAATGCTGTCAAAAGGTTCGCCATGAGGGTGCACCGGTGTGCATCGTGTTTGCAGCCTTTGGAGACAGTCGACGAATTATTCAAGAAAGGAATTTTATTGTCTGATTTAATCTCTCTCATCACCACGCCCCTTGCTCTGCTTCTTGCACATTCTGAATGAACCAACTTCGCAGTGGCACTTCCCCAAACCTGCTCATAGCCCCTCGCCTCACTCGTTGCAGAAGTACGACGAGGTGAAGATGGACCTGATCCGCACAGAGCGCCACATTCTGAAGGAGATGGGCTTCATCTGCCACGTGGAGCACCCCCACAAGTTCATCCTGCTCTACCTGCAGAACCTGGACGCGTCCCGAGAGCTCATGCAGGAGGCGTGGAGCCTTGCCAACGACAGGTGAGAAGTCCGTAGTCAGGCAAATAGGGTGATGGAAGTTCTTTGGTTAAAGGTTCCTGGACGTTTCTAGAAGTTGGAATTGGGAAAACGCTGCAGGACGTGAAGCATGATTGACGACATGTAAAGGATGTGTACGTATGCGTCTGTGATGTCGGGTTCTCGATCGTTTGGGGTTTCACATTCTGATTCTGTGAATGGGTCCCGATCGCATGCAGGAGGTTTGGAGGAACCTTCTTGCACGATTCAGCAAGTGGAAGAGAGGCTCTCAGAAAGCCTTCCATTTGAGCCTTGATGGCGTTTAAATATCTGTGATTTCAGATCAGCAGCCTTCTTTCTGAGAGACGTGTTGGACCAAATCTCGTATACAGGAGACAGCAGCACTTTCTCGCCCCACTCGCACGTGTCATCCTGAAGTTGGTGTCCTCTCATCGGGACGGTCCTCTGATCTTGCCCGCTTTCAGCCACCTTTCCACTAGATGGCGCGTAATGTTGTCGGCGTCTCCTTCCACTACGACACTCCTCCAACTTTTCTGCGACTTTTTGCATTGTTCTTCCAGCGGACGCCCCCTCCATTTCGTGCAGCCTCCGGACGACCCTGTGCGTCCGCTTCAAGTCCGAGACCGTTGCGTGCGGCGTGATCTACGCGGCCGCGCGCCGCCTGCGGGTCCCGCTCCCCGAGAACCCCCCCTGGCTCGAGGCGTTTGCCGTCAAGCAGCAGAACGTCGACAAAGTCGTGCGCGCGTTGGCGCACCTGTTCCGGCAGCCGAAGCCGCAGTACATCGAAGTCGGGAAGGAGAACCGGTCGTTTGTGCTGAGCAGCAGGGCTTGGAGTCCACCCCCGGCTATTCAGGTGCGTTGTTTTTGGCTCCGGCCATAAGCTTTGGGGAAACCCTTGGAGACCTGCTCGCAAAACGCCGAGCGTGCCATCTGAAAGGGGATGATGCACCTTAAAACCGGTCGCGTCGGCCGAAAAGTGTTTGGATAAGTGGTCGAGTCCGAAAGAAGACTCTGAAAGTCTTCGTTCGATCGAGTGTGTTAGTAGGGCCCTATCCTCAAGAGTTGAGCAGACTTTGCATTTTCTTTGGTCCCTGGAATGTGTGTCTCTCCTTAACCCAATATACCTGACGAATCTGGATGTCAACGGAACGTCGTCTTGACCAGAAAACAGAGTTTTAGAAATGGTTTGCAACTTTACGCCGCAAGACGGGCATCGCGTTTCGATAGCACCTCTTGTCTGAAGGGTCCTGTTTGCGGGTCATCTCATCAACAGGCAAAGCGTGTCTTGATTGCTTATTCTGGTCACAACCCGTGTTTCCGCATGCCTTGTGCAGCTTGGAAGCGGATTAACAAAACTCGCAGCGTCCACGACGAAAAATGAAACGCTTTTGGAGGTAATTCTTAGCATCGAAGCCGCTTAGGTCGAGAGCGCAGCATTTAACAAAGAATCGTTTCTCTTTCAGGAACTGCGCGAGACCCTCAAGCCGGCGTCCGGCTCCGAAGGCTCCATGGCCGGCGCCGCCATCCTCCCCCCCCCTCCCGCCGACCCCCCGGGTCCCAGCAGCAGCTCCCGAGACGAAGCGCCCACCAGCGAGCGCCCCCCCGAAACGGTTCCGGGGGGCGACGCCACACAGGAAAAGGAGAAGCGGAGCCGAAGCCCTGAGGAGCGGTCAAAGCGCCCGGTAGAAGGCCCCGGGCGAGACCGAGATAGGAGCAGAGACAGGGAGCGGCCCGGGGATGTAGACCGGGGCCTAGCGAGGGTGAGGGAAAGCGATCGGGACAGGGACCGGTCGCGAGAAGGGGGCCGGGATAGTAGAGATTCGCGCGATCGGGGGAGTCGGGACCTGGCGGATCGGCTCGGGGAGAGGGAGAGGCGGCCGGACAAGCACCGGCCACCTTCGGGCAGGGGTGAGACGTCGCTTTGGAGCTGATTCTTCAATGTGCTTAGGGTCGATCGGCCGCTCCTTCTGTTAAATTTTCTGGTCCTCTTGCAATCTAATTTTGTTTGCTCACTGCTTTGCCGGGGGATGGATTGTATCCGGCTGCTTCACGGCAAGGCGCTACTGCAGGTCAGGTGCAAAACTGCTCACTCCTTTGAGAAAGGTCTCAACGAAATTCACAAGAAGGCCGTCGCAAGAGCCCACTTCAATCAATACTCCGTACAGCGGCGGGAAGGCTGCCCTTGATAGCGCAATGGAGCTCTCAGTCCTCTTCTTTTGCCTCATTTTCAAATCCGCATCGGTTTGGAAAAGTCAGCACACTGCATGGACAATTGTCTCATTTTGCCGATCCGCGGGTTCGCAGAGTAGTGCATTTAAACCCTTCTTATACGCAAGCCTTGCTCGTCTTGCAGATCGGGACGGACGGCCCTTGTACATGCCTCGCGAGAAGGACAAGGGGCACCGGCATCATCCTTACGAGCGGCCGGGGTACAAGCGTTAAAGGAAATTTCTTGCGCATGCATCAAATCTATGTCGTGATCGAGGCTTGGGAGGAGGGACAGGCGGGGCTGTCTCTGGTCTTTTTGCAAAGCTTGCTCTAGAGTCTGGCATTCGTGCTGGGATCGATCCCAAAATGTTGACAAAATGGACGTCCAGAGTATGTCATGATTTGACGCAAAAGATGGAATGAGGAGCTCGGCATGATGCGGCCCCTTGTCATAACGAGCTACCATAATCTGTCACGCGTATAGGAACACACACGATGGATGTTACAGCCCTGTTGTCTGGAACAAAGAGGTCAGACAGTACCGTAACTCAATACAAAAGCATTTTGAACCGTCTGCACACATGGTGACAGACTCGGACGATGGTGAATTTTCTGATCTTGAATGGTTGCGGGACGTGGATGCCGTCATGGCCGCTATTGCGCATTATAAGCCGTCTTCCAAAAATTGTATCTCGTACCGATCGTCGTCTTACTCAAAGCAACCAAAGAAGGAGAGCTGCTCATCCATTACACAGAAGAGATGGACAAATGTCTAATTTAAGAGATCACGGACAACGAAAACCTGGCGCAATCCAAGACCGACCGCGAACTCAAGAACTGGATCGCCTTCGCCGATGTCGCAGATAAGATCAAAAAGCTCCAACGCTGCATCAAGAACAAGATTGTTCACAAGAAAGTCGAGGAAATTATATCTCGAGGATAGAAAGGTCATCACACACCACCTCATACTGAGCCTTTATTTTCGGATCAACCGCCTCAGGAACGATTTCGGAGACGTAAAGATCATACCTCACGGCCGCGAACAGACAGAAACAGAACAGAAGATGAACGTGCTCGTCGAGAAACCCTCCGGCTGCTACACTCTCCGACTCTCCCTCTGAGACGCTACAAAACACACCACGCTTACGGTGACCAGTCACATACTAATTTTGCCAAATCCTTGAACAAAGTCGTTTCCGACAGCCTTCGGCTCTTTCCCAGAGCGTGTCTGCTATCCAATCCTAAAAATGGTGACATACCCATGACCCCCGCATACCTGTCGCAGACTTCGTCCCAGATATTTGCAAAAGAGAACAAGCGGGTGGGATCGTGGATGCTCCGAAAGATCTTCTTGAGCGAAATCTATTGTCCAGAGATGCTCACCACTCATACTCACCAGTAATGAAATCAACAATGCAGGTGGGTCTGGCTCCGTGCCGCAAGAAGCTAGCGAGCTGCTCCGCCCGGTCGCGCGCGCTGGCGACTGCAGCGAGCTGCGGGGCCCACTGGCTGGACTGGCGCTGGCCCACCCCGGAATATGCTATGTTTGCAGCCCGCTGCCGCACTGCCGCCCATCGCTTAGCGCTGCTTGCTCACGCGCCTTTAGCTGCACATTGCTGCAGAAGTCTGCCACCCTGGCGCATGCTCAAAAATGCAATAGCTCAGGCTGGCAAGAAGAGCGTCATGTCCCACTGCCAGCTTTTTGTATCACACCTTCTCGTCTCTCAGTTGGCTGCATCGTTCAACTTGTCTTACGTAACAATTCATGATGCTTTCATGTCACATTGATGCCAATGGACTAAGTAGAGGTCTGCATGCACCTGTGTAAGGCCTACAGTTGCTGCATCAGCGCCAAAAAGCTCACAACATCCTCCAGCCTGAAATTGGTGACCGCACTTTGAGCCTCCACCTAGAGCGGCCCGCGCGATTGAGAGGTCGGTAGGTCTCAGAGCTCACTGGGTAGTCCAGGACGCCCTCGCGGGAGTTCGCAGTGCAGACTTGCACACTCTGTCTAGGGTAGGAGGATCCTTAGTAGAGACCGAGATCGAGGCTCGACTTGTATATTTTCGGACTGTTCAATGGCTTTGCCGACCCATTTATACCGGGCTCGTGTGTGCGTATCTATGTTATAAGGAGGCTTCAGCATGTGCATTTCTCTCATGCCCTCGTAGCTAGTACTGATGTCCTCTGCTCTTTACAAGCAGTACCTACTTAGATTGTCAAGCAGCGCCGGAACGTGGGCGGAACGTGGCCGGAACGTGGGCGTTCCGTGTCCCGGAACGCCGGACGCTGAATGCGTACCGGCTGCCGTCGGTCACAATCCGTCAGTAAACTGACCGCCGATGGCACACCTTGGCATAGAATCGACGGTTCAAATGTACTATGCTCGTGACTCGAACCTCGGTGCTCGGTTGAAACTTGATGACTCCGCCGTACTACTCTTTGCAAACCCAGCGACTCTTGACTCCCCAGGCAACGGGTAAATTACAAGTCACTGTAAGAATTTGAAGACCTGCGCCGCAAAGCGCCGGGGTCGCCGGGTCGTACTTTGACATTGGATTTGAGCAAACAGAATTGAAGCCCCGACTTCGATGTAGTCCGTAAAATTGAAATCACTGTGAAATCTGCATGCGCCGGTCTGCGGGATGCCCAAAAAGAAGGAAACTCTGCGGGATTCGAACCCGCAACTTTAGGTTTTCGACACTCCACGCTACCGCTACGCTACGCTCAGATCCCCCGGGCACAACTCTGTCCACGGAAATTCAAGCCAAAGGGGTTTTATAGGGGCACGCCCACTGGTGCAAGAAGGACAATCTACACTATTATATTAGTGTCTCCGGTCGATCTGTCAGAGTAAATACTCTCACAGGGCGTCAATCTGTGCAGGCATTGGTTAATGGTCTGACATGTGTCAGAGTGATCTGTTTGCTTGGAGTGCGGGACTCCGGTCCTTTGACCGGGCACCGACATGGTACCGAGCTACTTCCCGGGGACCTCTCAGTTTCCCGGTGACACTGCACAATGCACAGTCACTGCCTTTTCAGTCACAGTCACAGTCACAGTCACAGTCACAGTCTAGGTACCTCTTACAGTGTCCGGTGTCAAGACTGAAGACCCACAGTATGAGTCACAATTGGTTTCTGGCAGGTAAAAAAGCGCCACACTCAGTACGGTCACAATTAAGGTTTAATCCTGTCTCTGTCTTAGTCTCAGTCACAGTTAGAGTCTCAACCACAGTCACAGTGTCAATCATAAAACAAAGTTACAGTCACAGTCACCCGATAACCGTATTAGGTAGCTTAAAAAGATTGACACAGAAAGATTTGGCGGTCGTCCAGCTACCGGCCGGCGATAGCAACTGCCCGGTGACCGCTGTGCAGATGTGGTACCTACCGGCCAGCTTCATAGATTTGTTCATTTATGGTCGCGGCACGGGAGGGTGTTAACACAGAAGAATTCCCGGAGACACTAATAGAATAGTGTACTTTGTCCTACTTGCCCCACTGGTTGCTGGAGGGCTTCTTCTGCATGGAAGTCCCTCGGAAGTCCTGCCTCCTTTCCCGGAAACCCCGCGCACTGTGCGCGTAGCATGTGCCCCGACAATATTGGGCCCGAGTTTCGCGAATTAATGCTTCCGTTCCACGTGGCGCGAGTGCCAGGCGCTATCTGTGGGTCTCTCGTCACTGGTGGAGAATGGTTCTCTTTGTTTGTTTGTTTGTTTGTCTGCCTCCATGCTCTGCCGTCTGCAGCTTTAATATGTTATAGGTAGCAGTCAGTACAGCAAGCTGCAAAACCTTGAGCTCCAAGGAGCTTCTTGTGGAGGACGTTGGTCTCTTCGTATATCATTTCTGTAGATTGTTGTCGCTCGAAGTGTTCCTGATTTACTAATTGGCGTTGTCTTCTTTGCTGTCAGTGGTGTTAGGGCCATTTGTTTGAAGTTTGTCAAGGCTTAGAGCGCTGTGCTTGTGTACAAACTCCTTTCAAGATTACCATCACACAGCAGCAGGCTAAATGTCGAAACAAGCGGGAGAACTCAAAAGCCGAAGGGATGGCTATTGGGAGGGGCTGCTCCGCTGGTTCCTCACCCTCTGCCTGTTCCTCTTTGCGACATGTCTCTTTCTCTGCTTCCTGCTGATATTCACTGACGCCACCCATGGCTACCAGGCGCTGGTTTACGCACCGTCGGCATATGCTGGGGGTGCGATTCTGCATTGTGCTGCTGAACTTAGCAGCCGCAGGGGTGGGAATTGCCATCGCATCGGCTGCGGCTCTGCTGGCGACGCAGGTGCGGAGCTATCTGCTGACTGTCCGGTGGCCTGAAGACCAGTGTCCGGTCGGCTCTGCAAAAGCCTAGCTTTGGCATGAGCAGCCTCAGCGCTGTCCGTGCTGGGCGCCTCGATGTGCCAGGGACCTTCCTGCTGGGGCTTTTACTATTGCTGAGCCTGGCTGTGGCCCAGGTTGTAGCCATTGTGGCAATTGGTATCACCACAACTACCGAGCGGCACATTGAGGGGCACGTTGGCATAGAAGCCTTTGGCGCCTGCTCAACCCAGCTGACAGCGGAAACGATGCACGGAAATACAGTATCTCTGGGCCCAACGGACACAGACGAACTGGTGTCTAGTGTTGCCGAATATGCCCTTCGGAGCCCCAAAGTACTGCTTGTTGGCGGAGACTCCATTGCAAAGCTGTACAATAATGGGCAGACCAACTCATCAGGCAGGGAGGAAATAATCTGTCAACGCCCGGGCTATCTTTCCCTGAATCATGTACGTGCTGAAGCTCTGGAAGGGATTGCTTGCAGCACTGTAAGTGGTTGCTAAATGAAGTCTATACTCATTGCTTGCTTACATAAAGCAGTAAAGCATTGTTGCTTGCTTGGATCAAGCATACCAAACACACTGTCAAGCTTGGAAAGAGTGGACCTCTCAAAGCTTTCCTTGCAAGAACTTAGAGGTTGGACTGCATTCTGAGACTAAACATCTGATAGAAAGTGATTGCTCACGAGATAAGAACCTAAGAGCTGAAGAGCTAAGGGAGATAATCAGCCGAGACCTAACCTTCTGTCCCTCTCCTCTCATGCAGACCGGTGGACCAGCGCAGCTGCCGATGAGAGGGATTCGTGGAAACCGGAGCTTGATTGTAGAAACGACAGCCTCACTTTACACGACATTTGCAAACTGTACTCTTGGATCCGGGCGCTACGAAACCTTGGCACCTAGCACCCCGTGGTCAAGTCTGGGGCCCCCTATGAGTGAGACAAACGAAATCTCGCATTTCTGGTTCTGGTATGGCCTGGTGAAAGGTCCTCAGGGTGGGCAGGTGCTAGAGCTTCTCGGCATGGATTGCTCTTCGTACTTCTACTTAGCCGAGAAGAAGCGTCCCAAGCATGCCAACTGCTCCGTCATGTACTCATGCAACACGACGGTTTCCCTAACCAAAGAGCCCCTGAGTATCTCGCTCTTGGAGGGGGAGCAGCGGCAGTACACCCGAAACCTGTTGCCATCAGCACCGAATGGGACTGTGCTGACTGACCTTCACGGGGCGCTAGGGTCGTTTGACAATCTTCTGACCAATGTGTCCAAGTGGTCTAAGCAATATTATCTTCCGGGGATGGGGAACGCGGTCATCAAAACGATGCTGTTCCCGGGGCGGCCGTACTCCCTTGCGATCCAGGAGCCAGAAGGGCTGCTCGCAGCAATGTGGGCAGTCCAGGGCATTGCCAGTCGTTGGCAAGAGTGCAAAGTAGAGTGGGGTGAGCTGCCGGCGGGGGAAGACTTCTTGGTCCTGCATGTGATCCCTGGAGTTATGGGGCCCATTGCTGCGGCATTTGGCGTCGTTGCAGCGCTGCTCCTTATCGCGTCCTTACTTCTCGAGCTGACCTCCAAGGTCAACCTCCCCTCCCATCCAGAGCTAGCTGTCCTGGCCCAGAGTTCGGAGCAGTGCCGGGTGTACATGCTGGGCTTCAGCAACGCACGCGATAAGGACTGGGATAGGTGGACGAAGGAGCATGTGCTGCACGTGCATAACGAGGAGTCGGCCACGGGAGCGCCCCAATTGGCGCTGGCAATCGAAGGTACCCGTACCCGTGATACTTGGGTCTCTCACGGGCCGAAGGACTTGTACGGTTGAGTACACATAAGCTTAGGGGTTGAGGCCTTCAAGAAATATCGTGTGATGCGAGAGCAAAGTGTGGGGTACTACACACCCCATACTCGTGTAGGGGGGTGTTGTTGATGTACCATTGCGTTGAGTGAACATAGGAACGTTGCATGTAAC